AAATAGGTATAAAATAGGGATAAATTGGTTAAAAAATGGGTATGAAATGGGGCTAAAATGGGTAAAAAATAGGTATAAAATAGGGATAAATTGGTTAAAAAATGGGTATGAAATGGGGCTAAAATGGGTAAAAAATAGGTATAAAATAGGGATAAATTGGTTAAAAAATGGGTATGAAATGGGGCTAAAATGGGTAAAAAATGGGTATAAAATAGGGCTAAAATGGGTAAAAACTGGGAATAAAATAGATAAAAATGGGAATAAAATAAGTAAAAAATAGGTTAAAAATGGGGATAAAATGGGTAAACCTGGGGTATAAAATAGGGATAAAATGGGTAAAAATGGGTATAAATTATTTTTTTGTAGTTTGAGGGGCCTTTGGGGGGTTGTAGTGATGGAAAATGGGTTGGTTTTGGGGGAAAACGGGTTTATTTGGGGGGAAAAGGGTTGTTTTGGGGTGTTTGGTGTTGTTTTTTTTTCCCCAAATGGGTAAAAAAGTGGGTATAAAATAGGGTTAAAATGGGTAAAAAATGGGGGATAAAATGGAGATAAAATGGGGGAAATGGAGATAAATCAGGGATAAAATAGGTATTAAATAGGGATAATTTCTGTAAAAATTGGGTATGAAATAGGGATAAAATGGGTATGAAATAGGGATAAAATGGGTAAAAAATGGGTATAAAATAGGGATAAAATGGGTAAAAAATGGGGATAAAATAGGGTTAAAATGGATATAAATTAGGGATAAAAGAGGTATAAAATAGGGATAATTTTGGTAAGAATTGGGTATGAAATAGGGCTAAAATGGGTAAAAAATTGGTATAAAATAGATATAAAACAGGGCTAAAATGGGTAAAAACTGGGAATAAAATAGGTAAAAATGGGAATAAAATAGGTTAAAAATCGGTAAAAAATGGGGATAAAATAGGTAAAACCAGGGTATAAAATAGGGATAAAATGGGTAAAAATGGGTATAAATTATTTTTTTGTAGTTTGAGGGGCCTTTGGGGGGGTTGTAGTGATGGAAAATGGGTTGGTTTTGAGGGAAAACAGGTTTTTTGGGGGGGAAAAGGGTTGTTTTGGGGTGTTTGGTGTTGTTTTTTTTTCCCCACCGGCCGGAAAGTGCCTGAAATGGACTGAATTCCTCAGATCTTCAAGAAAAAAATAAAAGCCCCCCCCAAAACCCCATTTTTGCCCATTTTCACCCCAATTCCCCTCCCAAAACCTCCTCTAAGTGAAAGGACCTTGAGAATTCCAGGTCCAAACAGCAGAAATACCCCATTTTTGCCCATTTTTTTACCCCAATTCTCAACCTAAGTCCTCCTTTAAGTGAAAGCCCCATGAGGATTTTCAGGAAATTCACCAGAAAACCCAATTTTTGCCCATTTTCACCCCAATTCCCCTCTTAAAACCTCCTCGAAGTGAAAGGACCCTGAGAATTTCAGGTCCAAACAACAGAAAAATCCCATTTTTGCCCTTTTTCACCCCAATTCCCCTCCCAAAACCTCCTCTAAATGAAAGGACCCTGTCAATTTCGGGTCCAAACAGCCAAAATCCCCTTTTTTTGCCCATTTTCACCCCAATCCCCATCCCAACTCCTCCTTCAAGTCAAAGCCCCATGAAGATTTTTGGGAAATTCATCAAAAAAACCCATTTTTCCCATTTTCACCACAGTTCCCCTCCCAAAACCTCCTCTAAGTGAGAGGACCCTGAGAATTTCAGGTCCAAACATCAGAAAAACTCCGGTTTTGCCCATTTTCATCCCAATTCTCATCCCAAAACCCGCCATAAGTCAAAGGACCACAAGGATTTGGGGTCAAAATGGCAGAAAACCCCCTTTTTGCCCATTTTCACTCCAATTCTCATTCCAAATTGTCTTTCAATTCAATGCCCCATGAGGATTTTAGGGAAATTCATCAAAAAAAAGCCCCATTTTTGCCCATTTTCACCCCAATTACCTCCCCAAACCTCCTTCAAGTCAAAGCCCCATGAAGATTTTGGGGAAATTAACAAAAAAAAAACCATTTTTGCCCATTTTCATCCCAATCCCCATCCCAACTCCTCCTTCAAGTCAAAGGCCCATGAAGATTTTTGAGAAATTCACCAAAAAACCCCCATTTTTTTCCCATTTTCATCCCAATTCTCCTCCCAAAACCTCCTCTAAGTGAAAAGACCCTGAGAATGTCCGGAAAATTAATCAAAAACCCCATTTTTGCCCATTTTCACCCCAATTCCCCTCCCAAAACCTCCTCTAAGTGAAAAGACCCTGAGAATGTCCGGAAAATTAATCAAAAACCCCATTTTTGCCCATTTTCACCCCAATTCCCCTCCCAAAACCTCCTCTAAGTGAAAAGACCCTGAGAATGTCCGGAAAATTAATCAAAAACCCCATTTTTGCCCATTTTCACCCCAATTCCCCTCCCAAAACCTCCTCTAAGTGAAAAGACCCTGAGAATGTCCGGAAAATTAATCAAAAACCCCATTTTTGCCCATTTTCACCCCAATTCCCATCCCAAAACCTGCTCTAAGTCAAAGGACCATGAGAATTTTGGGGTCCAAACATCAAAAATACCCCATTTTTGCCCATTTTCAGTCCAATTCCCCTCCCAAAACCTCCTTTAAGTGAAAGCCCCATGAGGATTTTGGGGAAATTAACAAAAAAAAACCCATTTTTGACCATTTTCACCCCAATTCCCCTCCCAAAACCTCCTCTAAGTGAAAAGACCCTGAGAATGTCCGGAAAATTAATCAAAAACCCCATTTTTGCCCATTTTCACCCCAATTCCCCTCCCAAATCCTGCTCTATGTGAAAGGACCCTGAGAATTTTGGGTCCAAACAGCAGAAGAAACCCGGTTTTACCCATTTTCACCCCAAATTGTGTCCCAAGACCTCCTTTAAGTCCAAGCCCCATGAAGATTTTTGGGAAATTCACCAAAAAAACCCCATTTTTGCCCATTTTTTTACCCCGATTCTCAACCCAAGTCCTCCTTTAAGTGAAAGCCCCATGAAGATTTTAGAGAAATTCACCAAAAAAACCCCATTTTTTCCCATTTTCACCCCAATTCCCCTCCCAAAACCTCCTCTAAGTGAAAGGACCCTGAGAATTTCCGGGATATTCATCAAAAACCCTCTTTTGGCCCATTTTCATCCCAATTCTCATCCCAAAACCTCCTTTAAGTGAAAGCCCCATGAGGATTTTCGGGAAATTCACCAAAAAAGACCATTTTTCCCCATTTTCACCCCAATTCTTGTCCCAAAATTCACCAAAAAAACCCATTTTTTTCCTATTTTCACCCCAATTCCCCACCCAAAACCTCCTTCAAGTCCAAGCCCCATGAGAATTTCTGGGAAATTCATCCAAAAGCCCCATTTTTGCCCATTTTCATTCCCCAATTCTCATCCCAAAACCTCCTCTAAGTGAAAGCCCTACGAGGGTTTTCAGGAAATTCACAAAAAATACCCATTTTTCCCCATTTTCACCCCAATTCCCCTCCCAAAACCTCCTTTCAGTGAAAGCCCCATGAGGATTACGGGGGAAATTCATCCAAAACCCCCATTTTTTTCCCATTTTCACCCCAAATCTCCTCCCAAAACACCCTCCTCAAACACCCTCTTCACAGAAAGGGATCGTTTTGGGCCGAAAAAAACCCTTTTCGGGGCTCAACTCTCCCTTTTTTCGGCGAGACGGCGCCCGGGGCGGTGGGGAAAGACCTCCCTCCCCCTCCCCCACCCC